GGGGTCTACATTAGAGTTGAGGATTCAGTGGTCAATCTGCTTTAACCTTGAGAAGCTAAGAAACAATTACAATTACAGAATTCTATCCCAAAAGACAGAAGGCAAGCTTATCTGAGCAGAATTCTCTTACCTCCTTTCTTGCTCTTCTATTGTCAAAAGCCAAAGGCAAGTCTTCCTCCCTATGCAACAAGAATGTCTTGAGGGGCAATTATTAGCTTAAGGAATTGGTTAGCCCTTAAAACTTCTCAAAAGCAGTGCTATGCAGACCTCTCAAAACTAATTCCAGCTTTTGGCAGACTTGCCGTCAAATTGTGATCGACCACCAGGAGGCAGGATGCAGATGTACTGCATTGCCTATGGGGGATCCCTGTCCTTTCACCTTCCAGATGCAGCTTCCAACAGTGCTGTCCACACATAAGCATAGCTTATATCAAAGGTAGGTCTACAACTAACGTTAACCCCCAGCTTAATCATACAAGACTTAATTTAAGCTCATGAGTGGTATCTGTTAAATGAAGGCCTAAATTAGAAATGGTTTACTCAGAGGTAACAAAGGCATCTAACAATCTACAAGAGGATTTTTTATAGATAAAAAGAGACTCAGTAGAGCACCACCATACGAAATAAAAATACTGGAGCAAGTTTCATGTAGAAACCTCCCATGTTTTGGCAAGGAGACACTGTTGTTGTCTGTTGTCTCGTGATTTGCATGTAGGTAATCCCACTTTAAGTCAGAAATTCATGCTGTAGTGTTGATACTCTGGCTACAGGTCTTGCACAGATTGATGAGGCATTTTTAGTTCTGCTAGCTTAGAAAAAGATAGACTGCAGCTTCCTTATTTGCAAATACTTCCCACAGACTGTTCACCTTCAAGTTTTCCAGTAGATAGATTGTGAAAAATGAATGAGACTTACTTACAAGCTCAATCTAAAAGAACTGATCATCAGAAAAACAAAAGAGGATTTTCCTTTGCTCAGGGGAGAGTTAGCAAATGGAATAAGACACAGAAAGGACTGATAAGAACAGTCAGCAGAAATTGCTTCAAAAGAGACAAAGGAAAGAATTTAGAAGAAAAAATGTGAAGTATAACTGCTGGCTACAAATACAGATGGGATACCTTCTTTCTTAAGCTTTTGTGTTCTCTGTACAACACTAAAAACACTAAAAAGATTCCTCTAGCTCACACACATATATATATTAGATCAAATTGGAAGCACATTCTAGGGAAAAATTAGTTTTCTGGTATAATAGCTAACAGACTGAAATTTATTTGTTCACTTAAATACTTGTATTGTCTTCAGTAGGGACTATCACATGCATATCCAGCTGCTATTAGATCATTTTATTCCAGACTATATGTATTCTGGAGTCCCTAGTGACAATTACAAAATTCAACCACAAGCTATTGTTGAACTGTATGTATCTCCCATCTCTTTAAAAAGCTTAGGTTGGCATGACCATAATTATTAAAAAAACCTTTACATTACCATCACAGGCTTAAAAGTTTATTCAAATCTAATCTCTTCAAGATCAAGTTAGTCATGACCATGTTTCTAATTGAGTATTTTGATTTCTTTTCTCAAAGAACAATGGGCTAAATTCACTGTGGATACAAAGGAAGATGTCTGATGTAAGCTAATGATGGCTTGAAAAAGGAATAAGTTCTTGTGCGATTTTTGCATTTTGTTTGAGAAAAAAATAATTACTTTGTAATCACACAAAAATAATGGATAAAATATATTTTTTAAAAAAAGAAGAAAAATAAAAGCTTTCTATTTACCTAAAAATGACCTACTACCTTGAATAATAATGCTGCCACTAACACTTACATTAAATGCTCTAAACTGAGTATTCTGTAACTCTGACAGGCCTGATTTCTACTTGAAGAAAAATCCCACACATATTTTAGTAAGGATAATATCTTCTACTTTTCAGTAATAAAAAGCTGCGATGCACAACTAAAGCTACAATGCACAAGGACAGAAATGTTTGATTTCCTTCTTGAAAGAGGCTGGGACATCCAGGCATATGGATCCTGGCACTCCAGGTGACACTACATAGGGAATGTAATATCAGTAGGAGACAAAGCACTGGCTCTCTGTGTTGTCATGTTGAAAATGGCAGGGAGTCTTTGTCCCAAATTTTACTGCCTGAAAAACAGAAACCAAACCTGCCAAATACGGAAAGCAAGCAGCCTGGATTTCAGGGGTTAAATGCAGTACATGATTAAACACAGCTCTCCTCCTGATTCTTTGGTGAACCTTCAGCTCTCAACAGGAGTCAGTGTTTCTATAGCAGAGATGGTTGGGTGTCCTGGAGTGTCTCAGTCTGTGTCTTTTTCATTGTTTCTTATTCACTACAAAACATATCCAGCATTTGAAAATTTGACATCTGCCAAGGATAGGTGTTAAACGACTCAATCAAATACAAAATAGTAGTGAAAAAATACAGTTCCTGAAGCATGAGACAGTGCATGTAGGATACCATTAAGTTTTAATGATTCACATCATCTGCTCACATTGACTTTGGCTGAGCATTTCATGGAAAAAAAAAAGTCGGAAAGAAGAAAAGGAACACAGAAGAGACATGGAAGATCTACGTCAAAGTTCCAGTTTGCCTTCGTAATCTGGGCAAATCATTAGGTCTAGGTTCTTATGGAACTGAAGTGAGCCAGCTTCCTGCAGGCAGTTTGCTTCATATAGGTTCTCCCCTCCAGAATATGGTCAGCAGTTACTACAGCAGTTATGCCTTATGCCTTTCTGATGGGATGTTGAGCCACCAGATTTCAAGTCTCACCTATAAATTAAGCAGAGCAGGACTTTAAATCTAGCTTTTCCATCCTAGAAATAATTGAACTTAAATTTTTGGTTCATCAGAATGTGCATAAACCTATATATGCTCTGCTAAGCCTGTATCTACTGAAAGTCAGCAACCACCTTAGAGGTGCTCGCCATGCACAAAAAAGACAGGGCCCAGCTAAGGAGACAGACTAATTTTGGGCAGGTTTTGGCTTCAGTCTTAATTCCAGCCCAATGACAAGGGGATGATTTAAGTGGTTTTGGAGTTCTATTAATGTCACCTGGCAAAAAAAGACCAGAAGCAGCTCAGCGATGTATCTGAGCACATCTACAACAGTTAGGCACCCACAGGGCAAAGCTGCATGTATTTGCACTGTTCCCAATACAATGGCTCACAGATACTAGAGAGGCTTTGAATATGAATGTTCAATGAATTTGGAGAAGCTACTCAGTTTCAACAGCAATTCACATTTCTTAGAATCTAGTTTGCTTCTGTGTGGCACAAACATAATAAGAGAGTCTCATCATGTAGCCTAACATCACAGAACCTTTTATAAAGAGACGTAGGACAACATGCTTGGAAACCTCTGCAGTGTCTTTAGGAGCCATTCCCAGAGCTGCTGGAGCTCTGTGAAAGCTTGCATCAGAGTCCCAGTGACAGAACAGGAGCTGAGCAAGTCACTGTGGTCATTTAAAGGCAGGAGTTAAGTTTGAATGTAGGAATTTATCTTGCAAGGGGTAAAATAAGAGATTTCTTCTAACTCAGCAATATTACTCAATAATTTACCATTTTTACTTTGGCCTACACGAACATTGTATTTTTGATACAGGTCACAAAACGTCATTTCATTGGAGATACTGGAACTTATACTATAGTTTTATGGTTTTTAATTTCTTAATGGGACCAGGGCAGAGATGACAAGTTTTAATGTATTAAAGGTTTACATAACTGAGAGGCATAAGGTTTTCCTGCCTCACAATCTGATTTTCCATTCCATCACTCTCCTATGTTGATCACTATGCTCTGCAAGTTTCTCTGGTTTAGGTTAAAAAATTAAATCTTTGCAATAAGCATTTCCAAAACTCCAGTAATCAAGTGTCCTCTTGTTACAGACAAATGTCTTACAAAACTGGATTCAAAACAGACAGAAATGGCTTCTAATAATATTAAATAAAGTAAGAAAAGCAAACACCAAGAAAATTTCAAGAGTTCAGAGCATCAATCCCAAAAGCTGGAAGAAAAGCAATGCAGCACTCCATCTCTAACATAAGGAATCATTTAGCATGACACTTGAACGGCTGTGACAATACAAATCTGCTAATGTGGTATTAGTTGAACCAATTTAGAGAGCAAATTAGAATAAAAGGGTGTCTTGCATGTCAAATTGCTATGGACATCCAAGGCAAGGCAGAGAAACAGCTGTGAAAAAATGCTCTTTTAGCAGCAGAAAAGGCAAGGTTACAGAGGGTACAAAGAAACACCATTGAATACCAGGCTGGACAATGCTCTGTCACACAAGCAGGAAGATGTATTTCCAAACATAGCATTATTGATTTTCAAATTCTACCTTCTCCAATGGCCTCATTAAATCTTTTGGGGGGGGGGGGAGGTGCCTTTTTTGTTTGTTTGTTTGTTTGTTTGTTTGTTTTGGGGGGGTAATTTTTTGTTGTTGGGCTTTTCTTGTTTGTTTGTTTGTTTGTTTTTCCCAGTAGGATTACCATAAACATACTGTGGAAATGTTTAAATGGAGATACAAACTGCAGCTCTCTGGGACACACAACATATAACCTGGGAGCTAGAAACAGTCCTTAGCAGAGCTGACACATACCCACTGCAGACTGGAAAGCTGGAAGCATCTTATATCCAAAGCAGTAGGGACTTTCCCTGTCCTGGTGAGTCTTGCATCTAAAATAGCAAAACGTGATGATTTAATATTCCCAAGTAAATTTTCTATTTGTTTTGTTTGTTTCTTTAAAAGTGCTTCCTCCCATTCTGCTCTTCTTTTCCCAGATCCTCGAGTCCCTGCTCATGCTATAACAGAAAAGGTAGCTGAGAGAAACAATTCTCTCAGCAAGGAACAAAAATGGAGGTTTTATTCCCATTCTTTATAAAAATTGGCATGTAAAAAAGAATAGTACAAATCAAAATGCAGACACAGGAATATGTATTTGAGGAAACACAAGCACCACAGTGAGGAGGATTTCGTTTTCATCTTTTCTCTTTAATCCCTTTCATAGTTTATTGAATGTAATCAAGCAAAGTCAGTGAAGGGTTTTATAAGGAAGAGACAGTTCCCTTGTCATCGTAAGAGACTATGTTACAACAGGATTTTAGAAATTTAGGTAATTTAGCAAGTCCTAAACAGAAAAAAATGCCTGTAGTTAAAGCAGATTGCTTTGCTAGGGCCCAATGTCTGATTCAAAAGTCAGAAAAAGAACTCAAGTGCATGTATGTTTGTATTCATATTCATATTAATTAATTTAAACTGGGGTTTTTTTTCAGGTGAAATGACCATAAGTTAAAATGGTACAGAAAAAGAAGAAATACTGCTTGCCCAAGCAGATACAAAGATTAAACATAATAAGTCCACAGTCTACAAACAAAAATTAGACTCCTTGCCAGAAGTTACAGTAAGTTCTTTAACATAGTTAGAGGCAGGTATCAGGAGGTAAGATTACATCAGTTACATTTACTGTTAATTTCAAAGTATGAATGCATGTGATTTTACTTCCGCTCATACTATTGCAATTGCACTATTTATTTAATTAGTATTAAAATATAAGCTAACTATAACAAATTCAGTTCCTTAGTGTTCTGTAAGTTCACTTCAGCCTGCTGCCCAGTGTAAGTATGAGCCAGCTTGCCTGCCAAGAATAGCCTGTCTACTTCAGCCAAGAAGTGGGGCAAATAAGCTCCGCTGGTAAGGATAGGCACTTTTCGGTCTCTAACCTGGCTTGCTTATAACAACTTTAAATTTTATTATATCACACTGTTGCTGGCAGTGTTGACATACCCTCATTTTAACGACTCTGTGAACAGCAAGAAGCCATCAGCAAAACACACTGTGGCTCTCAAAAACAGCTCCAGAGCTGTGAGCTGCTCATGAATAGCCGTCTCTGTGAGGGCAGCATGATTTATAATCAGTATAGAGAGTCCCTGTGATTAATATTCATGCTACACATCCCAGAATAAATAGGAGATGCCAGTCTGATTCAAAGCCCTCTGAAACTGATGGAAACCTTTCCATTGACTGCCATGGGCTCTGGGTCAAGCCCCAAGCATCCAAGTGTGTTTACACCTTTTAAAAAAGAACGAATTCACTCTCCACATGTTTCAGTCCCTCACATTTATTGTCAGCAAACCTCTGGCAAAAAATGCCTTCCTCTGCAATGAGACTCACTGAAGCTAGTAGGAGCTATATATACAGAGACTGAGGACAAAATTCCAATGTAAAACCAATAGCAAACTGGAAAGAAACTTGATTTTAAAACCACACAAGACAAAATGCAATGATAAAATGAATGTTTCTTTGTAAGAAGTATAAAATAACTCAGATTTTGTATACCTGCAGGTTAAAAAAATTTTCAATGAGGCATACTGGACCTTCATAATATAACATTAAAAAAACCCACTCATATAAATCTAATACCATTATAACCATCTTCCTTGAACACTGTAATTATATCCTCCAAGGGTAAGTACCCAAATGTTAATTAAATATGGCCATCTATATTATTTTATGCAAAGATTTTTTTTACTTATTAAAGGAACTTAATAGTACTCATAGATGTCTTTGTTAAATGCAGATTGACAAGGAAGTTAAAGAATAAAGCCTCATTTATTTTTATGCTACTTATAAATTTTCTGAAGTCCAAGTCCTCTCACAACAGTGTACAGTAATTAGATTAAAACTACCTTCAAATACTTTCCACCACAACTTTTACGTGAACCATCTTGCAAAGTCCACAATGTCTACAAATCATTTTGCAGTGATTATCAAAAAAAATACTATGGAATTAAATAAAAGTGGATCGATATGGACCTTCCTCCCCAAGCAATGAAATCTTAGCACCATACAAAATATCATGACTTAAAACTGAGTGCTGACTCTCCTTGTCTCTCTTTCCTTTTAATAACCAAACAAATTATTTTCCAAAGCATGACTGTTAATACACAGATTGGTTTTGAGAGTAGTGTTCAACAGTAATTTTTTTCCTGCATTTTGTTTCAAGAAGAAAAATATAAAGTAAAAAAAAAAAAAAGAAAAAGGAAAAAGATACAGGAAATAAAAAGTCCTAAGGTAAATTAACAGTGAGTCCCCACGGAGGCAAAAGTGGACATTTCGCGACGGATGGTACTGAAAGGAGAGAGCTCCAGTTCCGTGGTGTACTCATTGTCATTGTCATCACTTGTCACTGTGGAAGACTTCTGGATGCATTCATCACAGCAGCAACAGCAACACTCCATAAAGGCCCGACTGAAAGGTTTACAGAGGCAGAAGAGGAGAACTGGGGTAACGCAGGACTTAAAGAACAAAAGGAACTGGCTAATGAGATGGAGGAGGTCCATAGTTTGTCGAGAGACCCCTGTGGACATGTAGGCAGTCACGATGTTGCAAATGTTTTCGGGAATGATGCAAAACCCATACAAAATGGTCAGAGCCACCACTGTGCAGTTCATCTGACTTTCCAGCTGAATTTGTCGCTTGTTCCCCCTTGTGCAAGCCTTTTCAGCCCTCCTGATTTTCCTCGCTGTCACCAGGGAGCAGGTAATAGTGAATAGGGTAGGTAAACAAAAATAGCAGCCGAAGTACCACCAGAGTCGTGCCCCATCGTAGGTGAGAGCTAACACGTAGATGGTGTCGGGCAGTGCGGTGGATATCTTCACCACGCAGCGCTCACCCGGGGGGCTGCCACTGTACTCGGGGTCCTCCTTGGCCAGCTGGCGCAGCACCACCTCTGGCAGTGCCAGCAGCAGGGCACCTACCCAGATGACAGCCAGCTTGGCCGTCGTCGAGGTGCAGTTTTCGATCATCTCATAATACATCTGCACGTTGGTGGCAGCACGAAACCGGTCAATGCAGAGGGCACACAGCGTGAATGTGGTGACTCCAAGAGAGGCCACCTGAGAAGGAGGAAAGGAAACACAAGTTAATACAGGTGCTATCTGGGGAAAAAAAAAAAAGGAAGGAAAAAGGGGGAAAAGGGGGAAATGAGAAAAGACAGCTACGAGGGTACAGTCCATTAATCAGTGGAGAGTGGGAAAACATCATATCCTTCAAAAGTCCCCTGTTTCCCTGTTGATGGCAGTCTTCTTAGAGACAGAAGATGAAGGCCTGAACTCATTCAGGCTGAAGGGGGAATTAATATATTGTACATTGGATGAAGGCTCTTACCATTGAGCTGTTCTCTGGAAGAGGTTTATACTCTTCCATAGAGATAGCTCAATTTGTACTCTGGAACACCAGTCAAGTCTAGCCACTTGACCAGCAAAGGCAAAGGCAAACATAGTTTAGGGGTATCAGTGTAGGAGACAGTTAAGCGCCATGGTGCTGAGCACCACCAAAAGAAACATCACAAACAGAACTTAGCTTCCAGCGTTCGCTCAGCTGTCATCCAGTATGCATTCCGAAAGAGTACATCCTTCTACTTTTCTGCCTAAAAATACTTGTTCCAGCTTGGTGTCATCCTCTCCTGGAGACCCAAGCAAGCACCTGTGCAACTCTGAGTGGAAAATAAAATAGAAGAACTGAGCAAAACTTAAAACTAAACCCTTTCCTTCCCCACTTTTTTCTAAGGGATGTTTTTCATAAAGATTGGTTCTACCACAGGGGTTGGAATCTTAAATCAAAAGGGGAGATAGGAGCGTCTTCCTTCATCAGAAGGACGAACTTACCAACACAAGTTATCAACCATGCAGGGGATCATAACATTGAAACCTTTCACATCTACAAAACTTAGAAACCCTGGGGACTGGATTAGGCATCTACTGAATTGAGTAGGGTCCAACAACTAATTTTGTGGACTTAGACTTTTAAATGAAATTTTGATGGGATGTAGGCACATAAAGCCACCCCATATTGTCAGTTCAAAGAAATCATACCTGAAATCCTCAGACTTCCCAAGTCTAACTTTGGAACCTTCACTATAATAGTTGAGCTCTAATAATCTATATTCAACATTTTATTTAGAAAAAAAATTACAGGAAAATCCAGGCTCAATTTAGTAGGAAACATCCTGTGGGAGAGTGTACTGCAGGTCAGGAGAAATGGACAAAGTTTCATTCTTTAAATGATTTAAAGACGGATTGGACAGAGCTCTCAATTATATACTGTGAGAAAAAAGTACAGAGCAATGCTTATGTTCTCTAGCTTTAATAACCATCATTCTATGTATGAGTAGATATCTTGTACTGTCATGTCATCAATTCCTATAATTTTTTCCTGTTTATAATTCAATTTTCTAAAAACGAAATTTGCAAAATGACTATATACATTTTGGCCTAATTCTATTAACAATAAATTCAACTTCAGTTCAAATTCAAAGCAGAATGCCCATTAACTTCAATTGGAGAAAGATTAAGTGCCCTGTTGCATTTTAATTCACTTATTTTCTTGGGTTTGTATGCTTGTGTTATGCTGCAAATGTGTTGATGCAGAAGAAAAGAAACTGTTAACTAACATTCCCAAAAAATGTAAAGAATATTTACTTTTATCATGAATAAACCATGTGTCTGTGCAATTAACTGGGAAATCTAAGGTAATACTGGGCAGTTCACTATAATTTTGTTTATCAAAATTTGATGTGTAATGATAGATTTCAATTTCATACAGGCAGACATAAAAAAACACTTTCTGATTTCCACCATAATATTGAAATATTACTGTTTATGCATCTCTTGTAAAACGTTCTGCAAAGATAGATAGCACAATTATGCACATTTATATAAATGTATCATTAATTTTGGCCTTCCATATTTAATGGCCATATCAGATTGCTAAAATTGAATATCACTGGAAAATATTAGGCACCTGGGATTAGAACTGTCAGACATTGGCTTGGTTGGAGAATTCTGAAACAGCTTCCTGAAAGATTGAACAAGTAAGATGCAATCTCTTACTAATTAACTTGCAGGAATATTTAATGATGACAAGGCAGTACTGTAAACATTTTTAATAGGCAAACATATTGATTTAGGAAGTTAAACTGTCTGACAAGATTCAAAGAAAGCTTGGTAAATACAGCAAAAAATAAAAACAATTAAAGAAAAATTACAGTTACAGGGAAATCTCAATGAACAGTGATAAACCTAGCTAATGAAATATGATTTTTCCACATCACAGCTGAGAGTGACATTTGTAAATTCAAGATTAGTGACTTTGTTTCCAAAACATTCAAATGTGTGAGCAGTATTCAAATTTCTTAGTGACAGCAAAACCTTTAGCCTGAATATGCAAGATGAATAACAAAAGTGTCAGGACAGCTTGCTACAATTACAGGAGACAGGAAAATAACTGAAATTCAGAAATAAATAGGGATGGAAATAAAATTCAGCAGAACAGAAGAAAGCCTGAGTTTTTGTAAATTAACAGTTTCCCTCTCAGCTCTTACATAAGCCTCTCCTCTGCCCCCAACACACACACTTCTATTGCTTTAGCATTTCATTGCAGACTGTTACACAGCAGCTAAGACATTAAAACTCTACAGCTGTTAGGGCTGGACTAATGAAAGAAGACATGCCTACCGTGAACAAACATAACCTACGGGGCTCCTGTCACATTAATTGACCAGCAACTTGGAGGTTTAAGACAGTGAAATAGAGCAAGAGGAAACAACTAAGACTACTGGAAGATGGCTTTGAAAACTCTCCTATAGATTTACTGATGAAACGAGCTAAACAAAGCCAGTGTTTCTCCAGAACAGGCAATGGTTTCCTATTTTCTATAGATCAGTGGAGTTAGTGAAGCAATGGAAAAGCTTGCAAAAACCATACAATCACACAAGCAGATGAACACAGATTCACTCCGGCTGACTTGTTTAAATGCAGTACAGCAATTTAAGGGTTAGATTACTTACCCACAACGCAGACTATAAGTAATAGCCAGCAAAATCAATGGGTGCTGCTCAAAACCTATGTGGGTGAGAACTGAACATGCATTCTGCATGTTCACACAATTTCAGTTTAGGGTTATTTCTTCATACCAGTCATACTAATAATTAGAGTTAAGCTGAAAGTGTGGAAGAAGTCAGAGAAGCTTCCTTTTTAATATGACACATGGCCTTGAAATAACCACTGAATGAAGATAATTCACTTGACAGGGAGTAGGTAAAGCACAAATTAACAAGTCGTAAAGTGGTACAAAGCTGCATGGAGTTTAATGGTGCTCTTCTTGTTGTAACAGCTGAGTGTCCGATGTGCTGTTGCAGTCTTAATTCCAACAACATGGCAGGAAATGAGGCAAGGCAAGGGCAACTCAGGCTCAGTAGTTTTTGATCATCACTTAGTTGTCTGATTTATTACCATATGGTCCCTATGAAGATTCTCCTGCAGTCTCTAGACATTCAGGATGACATCAGTTTACAACTTTCCCTTTTTACATGAAATCAGAGAAGTCCCCAAGTTTCCAACTGAAGGACCACCAATCTGCTTTGAGAAGGTGGTGAAGGAACCCCTGCCTTGAGGAAATACCCACACTATTTGGGCAGAGAATCACTGTAGAAGGGATTACCAGCTACAGCATACACATACACAGGATGACATTATCGTTACAAGGAGAGTCTCTTGCATTGACAAGGATGTTAGTGGGCACTGTGATGCTCATTCCAGACACTGCATAAACCTTTGGTCATTAGCTCACCACGCTGTTAGTCAACTGTGTCCAAACTGATTTGTGCAACTGAGCCCAGAGAAAACCACCAGTAAATACTCATGAAATGCTCAGGTTATTGTACCATTTCTCCTGCCCATCCCTCCAACATATTCATTCCCCTTTTAAAAACTTTAACAATTATTGAAATGTTTTCAGGCCTTTCCTGGCTTGTCCTACTTCTCCTCACTGTGGTCCCATGGCTCTTGGCCCTGGCCTCTAGGAGCAGTGCCTCTGGCTGACCAGTGAAGATGTAGTACAGTGAGCAAGGGCTGTGGAAATGAGACTCAATTCTCTCTCACTAATTTCTGCTTGATCAGATAAAGGTGATGAAAAGCAGAAAGGAAATCAGAAAAGGTGACCTGGGTGAAAAGGTCAACAAAGACCAAATTCTGTAAGTGAATATAAAACAGAGGTTGGGTCATTCCATCCAGTGAGACGAAAACCAAGAAGTGATATTGCTGCTATCTACAGATAAATCTATCTTGAGATACAAAAGTTACTTAAGTCAAAGGACAGTGAATGTAACAAAATGCAAATCAACTGGCCATGAGCAACTCAAGGCTGGAAATGAGAGGGACCATTAATCATCTCAGGCATCATCTTCTCAAGCACACCTGATGGAGAAGTGAGGGGAAACAATGCAGACTAAATTTATACAGAACAAGACAAATTAGAAGTGTTACAAGAAGTGGCTGCTTCTACCAGCTGAAACCGGATTTTCTAAGATGGAATATACTTGATATGGATAACACAGAGTTTCTTAAATCACAAGGCACTCTTCCTTCCTTTGTTACAAGGCAAGATGGGTATTTGAAACATTTTCCTGTTGTAATGGGAAAGCTGAACTACAGAAAAGGTTGATAACTACTAGCCAGGCCATCTCTGAGCTCTCAGTAACACCCAGTAGACTCTTTATATCCATTCCTATTATATCATATAAACGACTAATTTCTCCCTGAAGCCATTATAGTCTATCATTTTATTATGGTTGTTCTATAGGCACATCAAACTTCATAGCTTTAGAGCATGTTAATGCAACATACCATGGGGGCTCCTCCAAATTTGTCAGTTTTGCCTAAGATAAATAAACAAATCACAATACATTTTTTTTTGTGCAACTCTACACTTACAGTAGAGAGTCCAGTAACAAGACTGGACTATTGCAAAATAAGATCATTTTACTGCAAATAATTATTTAACATTTATCTAAATTTATGGTTTCTGTTCTTCAAATAAAAAAGTCCCACCCCCTCAC